ATACAGACATACATACCTACATACAATACCCCACGGGTATGACATGCATGTTTGCACATGTTACTGTGATGGCCCTACCTTTGGTCTGAACTGCACGAACCAACTAAGGTTACATGGCCCTTCTCGGCGAAGTTGCTTCTCGGCCTTCTTCTTGTCTGCGCCTTCGGACATCTCTGGAATGTATTCTTCCAGCTGCGAGAGCAGGTTGTGCATCTTGGATGATTTAGATAGAAGCGAATCGGAGAACTTCTTGAAGCCGTTGAGCTCCTGTTTGGGGACACAAGGTGAACAGCCTGCAAAAGCGCATATACACGGAACCTCTTGGCCACTTAGCCCCTTTACCCGCTATAAGTCCTGCTGACCCTGGGTGAGCTCCACTGTAGATCTTCGGCGACCCTCCTCACCCTCACTTTCACTCTCCTGGTCAGTGTCCGGCACTTCGGGTACCTTCTCGAGCTTGCCCGAGGTCGGGCCAGACAAGCCAAGCCTTGCCTTTCCCTGCACGACGACATGCATGCATACATCTCATGTACATAGACACTCGAGAGTTATGTTGATAGGACACATATAATTGCAAAGGGTGTCTAAGGTGTGCAAGAAGAGTGCAGCAGAGGCCTTCTCATCTTCCTCATGCTTTTCGAGGTCGATCTGCTTATCATCATCCGAGTCATCCTCACCATACTCCACATAGAACTTCTCGAGTTTCTTGTTGTACTTGTCTTTCCTGGTTCGTCCATGAAACACAAACCAACATGGGTATGTCTATATCTGTATGCACCACACAGACATAGTTCATCAACTTTTCCTAGTTCACATGCAAACGGCACAAGCACATGTCTATAGTAGCTAGCACGTTTCGAGTTGCCACAGCACACACAGCAAAGGCTTGCCACCAAGCAGCTTGATCAATTTCTCGTTTCCCGGCTTTCTGCAGAACTTGACCACATCCTTGATGTATTGCCTTAGCGAGTCTGCTCAGGCAGTTTCTGGCTGCGGCACACCCAGGGCTTGTGAACATCATCAGCTCCGTGGTCTGAGCAAATTGGATAGTCGCGGTGAAATCTAGACCGGTTGTTTTTTGTTGTTGCACCACCAGATACGGGCTGCGTAGGAGGTTCAGAGGAAGGTTTCGAATCATCGTTGTAACATGAACCCATTCTCCCCATAGAACCCACTGAAGCTCCTGCTGCCATGAAACACAAGAGGCCCAGAAGGACTGGCAATGACCCACACCCCGATGCAGATTCCTACATTTAGGTCACTGAGTGGTGTTGTGATTGAACCACACACGAAACCAATTCAGAGTCCATATAGAAGTGCCACAAGTAAGACCCTAAGCTTCAGTAGAGACGATATAGATGCAATGTTGTCTATCTACCTACCTACCTACCTACCTACCTACCTACTTACCTACCTACCTACCTACCTACCTACCTACCTACCTACCTGGCTAGCCAGCTAGCTATCTATCTGTCTATATACATGTATATGTAGATATGATTGATAAAGCGATAATTGTATGTCAGCCAGAACCACACATGCCGCGAGCTTCGTCGCACATACATTAACCTGACACATGGCAAGTTGCTTGCTCCACTTTAACGAGGTAGACATGCCTTCGACGGTGTACCATCCGCGCTTCTTGTGGGCCGACACCGTGCTCCGCCTCTCGGAAGATTTCGTCACCCGAGAGACAAAGCAGTCCTGCCAGGAGAAGACATGTAATGTAGTGAGTGAGTGGCTGCATGAGGGCACGTGTGCTATTCAAAGCTGTTTTGGGTTTTGGGCTCGGGCCTGAAGTTTATAGGGTTTTTTAGCGGATGTTTACAGTTGTGGGGCTCAGTGTTTGGGTTGTCTATGGTTTGCATGGGGACCTAGACACACAAAGACTCACCTTGTTCCAATCTGCCGCTTCGAGCTCGGCAAGCAAAGCTTTTCGAACGTCGCCTCCCTGAGCCCATCTCTCATGCACCTCCTTCGGCACATTGATCTTGCCTGAAGGCTTCTGCTCACACAACCGTCGGAGCCGGTTGTCCTTTGCAGCCTGGCGAGCAGGAGTACATGTAATTGAAACATAATAGAAAGGGCTGCTTCGGGGCATCCCATGCCTCCGTCTCGGGGGCAGGCTTTGGTGTGGATTTGGCCGACTTAGGGTTTTTCGAAGAGCTTGCAGTGGAAGGCGTTCGTAGCTTCAAAGCTTCGACTTCCTGAGCAGCATAGTAAGGAACGGCTCAGATACACATGGACATTCGTATGTGTATGTGCGTAACACACAAACACACCCTGTTTGTTTGCAACAGAATGATAGATGAATATGTCTACCTAGACACAGAGATACAAGCATTGTATTAGTTGAATATGCTGAAACAACATGACTGAACAGATCCCTTTACTTAGATGCAAAGGCACAGCTATGCAGTTAGATCGATAGATAGATAGACAGACAGACAGGTAGATACGTAGATCGGCAACACATATCTACTACACAGCACGTAGGGTACTATGCTGCGTGTTTACATTTCTCCCTCCAACAAGATAGTGCAAGTTTCAGCATAGAGCTTTCGGATGAGCTCATCCTTTGGGTCCGGCGATTTCTTGCCGACCACACGATGCAAGGCCGGCGAAGATGGTTCCACTGGCGACACCGGCTTCGCAAACTGGACAGGCGGGGATCCCTTGGTAGAGCCGGGGGCCTTGGGCTTCTTCAGGGCTGCTTGGGGTTCAGGGACCTTTGTAGCTTTCTTTGGGGTGGAAAGATTCATGGCCTCCGCCGTTGTGGTTGGGCTGGCAGTGCGGGCTTTGCTGGTTCGAGCTCGAGCTGGGGTGGGGATGGGTCGTGCGGGCTTCTCAGGCACATGCACAGGCTTCACGGGCTTGCCTTTGGCAGCAGTTCGCCTTAGCTTGCTTGGTTGGCTTGGTGGGGGTGAGGGCACAGCTTCTTCCTCTTCCTCCTCCTCTTCCATTGGCTCCATGTCACTCTCCCGACCATCATCCGCTCGCTCATCCTCGAGGTCACTTTGGGCCTCCTCTCCCTCCTCCATCTCATCAGCTTCCCCACGTTTCGTGGGATGGGGCTTCTCTGGCGTGTTCGAAGCCTAAGACACACATGGTTGCAACATAGAGAGTTCTTTGCTAGGCTGTACAAAGATCACTGTGGCCAAACGAAGACATGTCTACTTGTGACCTAAGAAAGACCAAGTTGCCTCTGTACGTTTTTTCTTCAAAAGGCGAAGCTGCTCTTCCATCTCCTGTATGGAAGGCCAAGGTAGAACGAATACGAGTAGGTAGCATATGTAGATTTATGTCCACTCCTATTAACAGACGATATACACACCTGGCCTTGATGTTCGAATCTAGCTCCGAATCATTCATCTTCTCTTGTTTGGCTTCCAGCAAAGCCTGGCAGCCCTGATTTAGTTCAGAGCAGCTAAACTGTCGGGACTTCAAGAGCTTTCGCGACATGTGGCCGACGTCAAGAAACAAGCCACAGCTCACCTGAGCCTAAAAAAGCACCTGCGCAGGACACTTCATTGCAGCGGTGCAGGATGATGCAGATCCAGGCACAATTGCTCACAAGCACTGCGATGCACAGGCTAGCCACCCGTCCCCTTGGGATTGTCGTTATATGGTTCATAAAGAAACGATCCATACCTGAATGGGTTTGAGAAAGCAACAAAATATACGTAGGTGGTCTAAAATGGAAGTATGACAGTCTACGGGTTTTTACGCATTTTTTACGTA